ACTGCTTTTGGAGGATCTCATTCTTCATCGCTATCTTGTTGTTCTAAGCCTCCAGCTCATCGACTTTAGCCTGAAGAGCAAACTTTTTTTGTTCCTTTTTTCGTTGCTTCGCACCAGGTGCAAGAGGGGTGTCATTCTGTGTGTTGTGGCTTCCTTCGCTCCCTATGTTGGAAAGGGATGCCTAGTCAAAAGAGAGTGTACGAATGGTGGAAACCAGCTTAACAAAACTGAAGAGAGTGGGAATAAGTGTCGTTCCCACAGACGGCGCCAAATGTTGATGCACAAAATCAGTAAGGACTTTGGTACAACAGAAAGTGTTAAGTTTGTGACCTTCGCTAGATTGCTCCGGTCACTAGTGTGGATAAGTATGTAAATGATAGAGACAGGGAAGCAAACACAAGATGTACGTGGTTCACCCAGATTGGCTACGTCCACGGAGTAGAGGAGTTCTCATTAATTATGAAGGGTTTACACAAGTACATAGGTTCAAGCTCTCCTTTAGTGAGTACTAGTGAATGATTTAGTACAAATGACATTAGAAAATATTGTGAGAGAATGATCTCTATTTATAGGAGAGAGTTTCTAGTTTCATTCTGACATTAACACGTGTCGTGTTGTGATTGGCTTCTGATGTTGACACGTGTCGTGCTATGATTGGCTTCTGATGTTGACACGTGTCGCGCTGTGATTGGCCTCCTGGTTGGAGGGAAACTCTTCTGGGTCCTTGACAGTATAACGTTGACCGGTGCTCAATAGTTTCGGGATTGGTCAAGTATGGTACAAATGCATAACATAATGAGTAATGAATCCACAATAGAGTAAGTTATCTAACCTATTTTTATACATGGATTATAAGTTTCTGCTAATTCAATTGTATCTCTAAGATCCAATCTCATCCGGCCACCAAATGGACCAAAAAATATGGAATTTCAAGTTTACCATCAAATTATTTATAAGTTCGATAATAAAGCTTCAATGTCAAAGGTAATATGGTAATCGAACAAATACTTTTCACAACCAACAATTTTCTCTCAAAAGAGCACGCTTGACGATAAATTCCTACGCATGCATAGCATGTAGACATAATTCTAAAGCTTATTAATTGTTTTGCCTTTGAAATTGTTATTTAGTCCTATTTTATCTTTTAAACTTGATTTTGTCTCATTCTACTCTTGAAACTGTTGTAGGCCTATTTGACTGAACCATATTAAGGAGTAGAGAGAGATGGGGGCGGTGGAAGCAAGAGGGAGAAGAGAGAGATTTAATTGTGAGGTGTGTGTTGTATCATCTCATTGTACCTTTATTTATAGTAGTAGGATAGGTAAAAACCTTACCCTTTTAGGATTACATCTCTTAATAGCTAATCAACTCCTAATAGGAATATAAGAGATATTCCTAGATTTACTAGGATTTACACAATCACATTTCTATTCTAAATATAACTGCAACAGAAACAACCATTTTCGTCTTATTTATTTTCAATTCACAACATTTTTGTCCATTTCGTTACATAGACATTAAATTCAAAGGTAGTGTGGACATTTCATTTTTGACATACCTTTCAACATACAACCTGCCCGCTAATTTAATGTTTATTTGATAGAAGGAACAAAAATGGTTGAACTAAGACTAAATAAAATGAAGACGACAATTTCAGATCAATCGGACTTGATCAGCTTTTTCTCTCTTACTGCGAGCCCCTTCTCCCTGGAGTGAATCTGTGGGTGTGATTCAACAACTACCCAACCCAAAAACCATAACCTGTCCTCCCTCACACATAGATCTGTCAAACTTGACCAGCTCATTCTCCCTGGAGGGACACCGTGGGCGAGCTTCAACAACTACCCAACCTAAATCGCACCTCTAATTGGAGAAGCCTCATCAAGGTTGGACAAAAGACCATAACTTATCATCTTTTACCCAAAGCTTTGACGGATTTGATTAGTCACGGTCGTGAGCACAAAACCCTTATGTACTCTACCAGTCTTCATTTTCCTTTAATACCCACCATAATCACAAACCTACCAGATTTAATTCCCCAAACGGGTGTGAGTAAATCAGACCCTTGGGGTTCATGGGGTTTATCCCCTGGTAGCTGACCAAGAGGTTGCTAGCGGCAGAATTAAGAGAAACAGATCTGCAGGAACCGGCAAAAGGATGGGGGATGTGTTGCCCCAAACAACTCCAATAATAGATGAGGAAACATAAAGCGCACCTACCTGCGATTCGACAACTAAAAGCCCTAGGAATTCAATTTTCTTCCAACTGCCTTTATTGTGATGCTGGTTTACTTACAAAAGGCACATGTGAAAGCCTTTGAGGAAAACAGAGGAAGTGCGATCTAACTACAATCTTACAAAATGAGTGTATTGTGTACCCATTGCACCTAACTGTGAGAACGAGACAACCAACATGAGAAGCTAGGAGACAAATGACTCATCAGGAAGTGGAGGAGTTCGTGGTCCACCTTAAGCAATCAATGGATTTGGCGTTAAGAGAACAAGGAATGAAATTGGTGGGTACGGCTCTAGTAGATAGGAATCTGAACAAATAGGGAGTTAGGAACATTCTCCGATCTGCTTGGAAAGAATTTGAGGAGGTGGACATCAAGTGGGTCAGGGATAATACTTATGTCATTACGGTCCAAGATGAAAGCATGGCAATAAAGATCCTAGCTCAGGTTACGTGGGCAGTGATGAAGCAAAACTTTTTTGTCAAGAAGTGGCCCCCGGAACTCGCCTTGGAGGAAGTCAAGATAGAGGTTGTTCCATTTTGGGTCCAAATTAGGGGGGTCCTTCTAAGCCTCACTTCGGAATCAAATGTCAAACTCCTAATGGTGAATGCGGGGGAGTTCATTGAGCTGGAGGACCATGACAAAGCTTGTGGATTTCTAAGGGCTAAACTCAATATCAATACTTCGAATCCTCTAATCAATGGATGATGGTTGAAAAAGGAGAACAACAAAGATACGTGGGTGGAATTTCGTTATGAACGCCTACAAGATTACTGTTATAGATATAGACGTATAGGCCATGCAAACATTAAGTACTTTTTTGAGCCAAGCAAGGGAGGTGTAGTAGGCTATGGAGAGTGGACCAAAGCAGGGCCGACCAGGGACGAGGTGGAGACCATAAGACCATAAGACATGCGGGTGCAGTGAGATTTGGTTCACTGCCTAGTTCACAAGGAAACTTCAACGATACTAGATCAGGTGGACATGGGGAAGATAATAGCAATGTTACAGTCCCCGATTACATTGAGACAACACATCTATAACATCATGGGAGAAAGAAATGACACAGGAGGCCATACACGGTGGCTGGGACAGGGAACCTTTGGCAGCAGTGGATCGTGTTGATTGGGAAATGGCAGGCCTCTTGGGACATTGGGCAATAGAGATACTCGCAATCACCCAACATAACTCTACAAAGGCAAATAAGGAACAGACAGACGATTAGAATTGAAGAAATCGACACTATGTAGAGTGAAGAAGAATGGGTAATAGAAATGAGGAGACTCGAAGGTAGGAAATGGCAGCCACCTATACCCAATAGGCCGAAGCCAGTCATGAGAAAAGAAGAGTGGATATACAGAGTATGGAAATGGTGCAGTCTCTACAAAAGAAAGTAGAGCCTTGGTAACAAAGAGGAAAAAAAAAGGAAAGATGACAAAGAAACTGAGAGGTATGAGTATCAATGAGCGATGTTTGATGGTAGAATGAGCTATATATGAAGATGAGGAATTATAGGAAGTCTCAATCGAGTACCAAGACATGTGGGAGTATATAAATGAGGTCTCTACAGTAGAGAATAATGCAATACTGGCTAAAAGAATGAGTAAAGTGGCTCGAGGTGGTGGTGGCGGCTGGCTCACAACAACCGTACATTTGCCATGATACACCTATTCTAGAACTGCCAAGGTCTTGGGTCAGACACGGTAGTTCGGGCCTTTCATGGGCAAATAAGGAAACTCAATCCCTCTATGATCTTTCTATCGGAGACAAAAATGAAAGATCATAGAATTGATGGAGTAAGGAGGCGTATGGGATTTTCAAATGGGTTTAATGTGTCACCAATTGGGAAAGCGGGTGGATTAAGTATGTGGTGGGATGAATCGGTGGAGATGGAAATTATCTATTCCTCAAACACATAATCAACGCTCGAATAAGGGATGAGGGTGCACATCCTTGGGTGCTGGTTACTGGAGTTTACGGAACATCATATAAAAGTGAAAAGGAAGAGTTTTGGGGATGAATGAATACTCACTTCACACCTTTAAGTATTCCTTAGCTATGCGGATGGGACTTCAATGAATTCATTTGGGAGTTGGAGAAATCGGGCAGAACATAGGTGTTATATAATCGACCCTGATACCTAGAGGAATTCTTGAACTCCTCGAATTTGCTGGATCTGGAGTTCAATGGTCCAGCCTTTACATCGAGAGGCATGAGAAACGGGACGTTGGTGGATGAGCGTTTGGATATGGGACGGATTAATAGGTAGTGGCAAGACCTATGGCCAAACACTACGATTACTCACGAGATGGTTTTGGGATCAGATCATTGCCTAATTATTATCCAAATCGAACCGGGATGTAGGAGGGGTAGGAAAGTGTTTCGGTTCGAACCTTCTTGGGCAAAGGAGGAAGAGTGCAAAGAGGTGGTGAAAAAGTGCTGGGAACGAAATGAAGAAGGGAGTGTCCTGGTGAGATGGTTGGAAAAGGTTAACGACTGTCGCTATTAACTTATTAGGTGGAGTCATAACAAATTTAAATTGAGGGGCCGACAGATAGAGGATTTTATGGGTCAACTGGGGGTATTACAAAAATCTGGGGGAATTACAAAAACTCTAGGGAGCAAATATTGAGGAGATAAAGGAAAAGTCAAGAATGATTGATGGATTATGGGCGCAAGAGGAAAGCAGCAAAGGTCTCGGGTGAAGTGGTTATATGAATGAGATACAAACACTAAGTTCTTTCACTAATCCACGTTACAATGTCGCATGAGGAATAAGGTTATAAAAATTAAAGATGAAAATGGTGATTGGGTGGAGAACCCCAGTCGGGTCCGAATGCTGGTAGATGAGCATTTTATCAACACTTTCAGGTCTGGAGGGAGTCAGAACTGGGGGACAATACTTGACAGCTTAACCTCGATTGTGACAGAGGAGATGAATGCAACGTTTACAACACCGGTCTTGGAGGAGAAGATAAAGGATGCAGCACTACAAATAGAGGGAGGGGAGGGCTCAAAGCTCCAGGTCCGGACAGATTTTAGGAGGTTTTCTACCAAGCATTTTAGGAGAATATTATGGGAGATATGAACGACCTGGTCCGATCATTGACACATGGGCAGGACAACCCAAGCAAAATAAACTCCACCCACATTGTGTTGATTCCAAAGGTGCAAAACCTGGAGGCGGTGACGTAATTTCAGCCTATAAGTCTTTGCAACTACTCCTACAAGGTATTATCTAAAGTTCTGGCGAATAGGTTAAAACCTGTTTTGTCGGACCTTATCTCTCCTATGCAGAATGCATTTATTGCAGGTAGACAAATATAAGACAATATTGGTATTGCCCATGAGGTGTTTCATTTTCTCAAAGTCTAGAAAACAAAGTACAAGTTTGAGCTTGGTATCAAACTTGATATGCAAAAAACATATGACAGGGTGGAATGGGACTTCCTAGATGCAGTCATGGAGAAGATGAGGTTTAGTGTTATGTGGAGGAAGTTAATCATGGGTTATGTGACTTCGGTGAATTTCGTCGTTATCCTCAACAGGCAACCAGGAAACAAGTTCGCTCCATCACGGGGTCTTCGACAAGGAGACCCTCTATCATCGTATCTATTTCTCTTGGTGGTTGAGGTTCTATCTAGGATGATACAAAGGGCTATTGAAAATAGGCTTTTGGAGGAGGTGAAAATGAGTGCTTCGGGGCCGGTCATCTTCCACATCTTTTTTGCTAATGACACGTTAACCTTCTTGAAGGCGGATAAGAAGAATTGCAGAAATTTGGTAAAACTCCTTAAGGAATATTGCGCGGCCTCGGGACAGAAAGTTAATGTACAGAAATCTAGTGTCTTTTTCAGGGCCAACGTTCCATCGAATATGTCCACTGAGTTGGGTAAGATTATGGGCATGCCAGTGGTGGAGAACCCAGACACTTATCTGGGGGGTACCTGGGTTCGTTTGAAGAAATAGGGACTTACTTATGTGAAAGGTCGACTTTTGGAGAAATTACAAGGCTGGAAGCAAAGTACCTTATCAAAAGCGGGGAAGGAAGTGATGATCAAGGCCGTAACCCAATCCATTCCCCGCATATCCAATGAATATCTTCAAGTTTCCAGTGGTGGTGTGTAAGGAAATGGATGCTATGATTGCTAAATTTTGGTGGGAGAATGGTGGGGTGAGGCGGAAAACACACTGGGTTTCTAAGAAGACCTATGTCTTCCAAAACATATGAGAGGTATGGGTTTCAGAAACTTTCAGGAATTTAACGTTGCTATCCTTGCTAAGCAGTGTTGGCATTTGATAAATGAGCCAAACTCGCTGTGGGCTAGGGTGATGAAGACTCGTTATTTTTCAAACTGCTCATTTTTTTTATGTAAAAAAGAGGTTGTGCCTCTTGGGCCTAGACAAGCCTACTTGTAGGAAGGGAGTTGGTATTGCAAGGGGCTCACTGGCAGATTATGGGAATGAATGAGGTGCGTGTTTGGGTTGATAGGTGGCTCTCCTACTTACAGGTGGGACATCCTACTCCAACCAGAGGGGCCGCGGTGACTAGAAGCACTCGGGTCAGCTTTCTAATTTGCCCGATATCTCGAGAATGAGATATTGACTTTCTTCATCCTTTCCCCTCGATGGAGGAACGCACGGCAATCAGGGAAACTCCAATTGGAAACCCTCGGAAGAAGGATAGATTGGTTTGGGCGGTGAACAGAAATGGCACTGTTTAAGAGACGATCTTCCCCCACCCTAACCTACCCAATCTGCCATTGTCAAGATGAAACTACTGAGCATCTCTTACTCCTCTGCCTTTGGGTCGAGACCATTTGGTTTGGTAGTGCGCTGAATTACAAAGTTGACCGATGAGGCATTTGTAATTGGGTAAAGTGGCTGCATTATGTCTTCACATTTAACTTGGGATCTACGGCGAATGGTGACTGGGTGTAAGCGTATGTGGCCATCTTTTGTTGGTATATTTGGAAATCCCAATGTGATTTTGTATTCAACCAAGTACCTATCAACCCAACAAAAATGCTACTGGCAATCTCCAACTTAGTAGGTGAGTTTGCTGATGCTTGGACAATCCCTGAAGCCACAAGGATGGTGGACCCATGACTAGAAAGGCAAATGATCAGTTGGACTTCTCTAACCTCCACATTTGCAAAAGTGAATGTTGGTGCAAGTTGGTCTAGGTTGACTAAATTAGGTTTTGTTGGAGTGATGACGCGGGCATCGGGGAGGGGGGAATTTATTGCAGCGGCTAGGTACCCTATCACGGCTCTCAGTGTCGCAATGGCGGAAACATTAGCACTGCTTCATGGATGCAAGTTAGGGGCCTCTTTGGGTCTTAGCTTGGTAATCTTTGAATCTGATTCACTTGAGTTGATCTTGTGCCTTTCAAATTTGATAGAAAATGGCAGTTGGGAGGCTTTCCCTATCTTGGCGAAAGTTATGGAATTGGGGGAGGCTTTTCCAGAACTGTAGCTGGTCTTGGGTTCCAAGATCAGCCAATATGGTGGCGGATTCTCTTGCGTCAGTTTGTAATCCGGATATGTGCAATGTCGTGTGGGTCGATTGACCACCTTTATTGGTGTATGATCTGAACAACGACGGTTTACCTTGTCCTCATTAGTTTTGTTTCGGCAGTGTAGGGGGCGACACCTTCGCATGGTTGCAGTGTCCTCTTTATTGTACCCCTCTACACTGTGTTAGTTACTGCTTATGTGCTTGCCTCTGTGTAGGCTTTCAGTGTATGTTTTCTAGCATCTCTGCCTTGGAATAGAATTCCCAGTTTACCAAAAAAAAAAACAGTTCTTTCGAGGGGCATCAATTAATGTTATTTGTAAATCTACTTTAATGCAAGTGGAACCCAAATTTGTGATGTTGTGATACATAAAATATATTTAAAAAATGTAATCTTAATTCAAACTAGTTGCCTTCTTCAAAGAACTTAAAACACATTAATCATAAAAACAACTGTTGATTAAAAAAAAATAAATAAATAGAACATTATTTATAAGTGCAACGTTTTATATTCGATTTTAGCCAAATACAAATTGAACCACATTATTGCTAACCCTTGGTGATGCTAAGCGCATCCCTTTCCCTTAATGTAGATAATATCGTTTGTTCATAAATTAAAGAAAAGGACAATGTTAGTTCAATTTTTTGCTTTCATATGACATTAATCATTACATATATGAAAGAGAACTTCAAAGTGTAAATTGAAAAACAGCTTAAAATTTTCTAACGGTTGGAGTGGAGAAATTTTGAGACTGTTGGGTTCGATATTTTTGTTTGGATTAAAGTAGTAAACGCCACTTAGTACCACAGTCTTGTGATATTTATCTTCACTTGTAAATGAGATGTCTTATATTTTATTCTCGTCAAAAGAATAATTTGAACAATATTATTGATATCTCATTGCGAAACTAAGCGCATCCTCTCTTTTTAGTACAAATAATATTGTTTGTTAAAAGAAAAAATATTAAATGGTTGATATTATTATGTGAGACAAAAAATGATAGTAAATGATGTAAACTATTTTGGAATAAAGATGAACAGATTCCACTTTTTTCTATAATTTTTTATTTCTTTCCTTTTGTCTTCAAACTTGAGAAAACAAGTTACCTTGGAATAAAGTCGATAAAGATCAACAGATTCCACTTTTTCTATAATTTTTTTTATTTTTTCTTTTTCCTTTTGTCTTCGAACTTGAGAAAACACCGAATGGGCCTTTAAACTTTAACACGTGGTCTTGTTTTGGGCATGCATGCCTTTTGATGCATTTTCCTGTCAAAAAAGTGAACTCCGATATTACTAAAACCCCTCATTTTTTATGAGACTGACTAATATATTTTCCTTTGTGAAAATATATTGTTCAACACACTCATAACAAAATGTCCAAAGTGTAAAAAGATTATAAAGGTTTAGTACATTTCACAATATTGAGTTTTGGAGTTGGGTTCAAAATGAGCCCCAAAATTTCCAAATTTTGACATTGCAACCGACGTTTGATATTTAACTAGTTCACACATTTTCTTTAGATGGAAGTGATTTTCACACTTTCATTTTATCACCTTACATTCCTTTTGTATTTATCTTCAAATTGAATAAAACAGAAAAAGAATTAAAAGGTCAAATAAAAAAAATGAGTGCAAAGTGAGAAAACGAGTGTGTAAAATCATTATTCATCTCTAAAGCAACCTTGATATATTCTTTGTGGTATGCTTGATGGATTTTTTTGGGGGGGGGGGGGGGTCTTGCACATTTCTATGCATTATTAAATAAGGGACAACATGCGACGATGAGCTCGTTTTATGTAAGTCTTTCTTCTCATATTAACACATCAATATGTAACAGTCAACATGACTGTCAACCTAACAAAATGTGTAAATTGAATAAATGTCAAAGTGACGACTTCTAAGACCATCTCCAATCCTGACCTAAAACCTAAAAATATTTAGCCCAGAAAATTTAGGTTTTAGCCCAGAAACAGCTTTTCTACTCCAACCATTTTGGCCTAAAATTTTAGCCCCAGATTATCAAAAAATGAATTAAGGCTAATTTTTTTTAAATTAACTTTAAAAAAAAAATTATGTAGACTATCCTAAATTAATTTTATGAACATTTTAACCTAAAAATATTTAAATTCCGATAAATTTTTAAAAATCACTAAATCAATACATGAAAATCATGATAAACCACATCAACTTAAAAAAAAAAATTATTCTAGCCATTGGAAAAAAATATTTAAATTCCGATAAATTTTAAGATTATTCTAACAATTGGATTTAAATTTGGACCGTTAGATCTTTTTTTTTACTGTTAAATTTGATTATATTCGATTTAAGCCGTTGGATTCAATAAATATATAAATATAAAAAAAATTTGAATGTGGACCGTTGGATTAACCAACGGTCCAATTACCACCACCACCCGATGAAGAAAAGTAGCTGTTGGCTACAGGACAAGGCCCACTTTTCACTCTCATCCGTGGGTCCCAACAGCTTTTGTGGGCTAAATTTGTGACCTATATTTACCTTCATTTTAAGTTTTAGGTTTTAGGTTTGGCTTAGGTTTTGGGTTGGAGTGGATTTGGGGGGGAAGGGGAAAATTTAGGTTATAAGCCACCATTGTAGATGGTCTAATGTGAGAAAGTTATGATCTCGTGAATAGTATTCATTTTGAAATTGACCACAAACTTAAAGGGCATGTATAATACTTAATTCAACATTTAATATTGATAACTTGGTTCGATTTAGATGATAATTACAAATTTTGGCCATATTTTATTTTATAATTTCAATCCTAAATTTAAAAAGGGTAACATATAATAGTATAATTAAATATCCACAACAAACTTTTTCTCTTGAAAATCCACAATTTTTCTCTATTATGTGGTAATTTATTCTATTTACGATAATTTTTTACACGTGCATAATATGCTCTGATATTGGTAGATCTAACACAGTAGCACCCATCAATATAATGATGTAACACATGAACTCAGCCCATATTGCTTGTTGGAATCGTCCATCCATGCTGTCCTAAGCATTAGCAATCGGTAGCAAGCATCCAATGCTCTAAGACCATTTCCAAAAAAATTTAATTTTTAGGGTGTGAGGGGCAATTCCGTCCAAAAATAGTAAAGTTGCATACAATTTGCTACCAAAAATGGACGCGAAAATTTGACACACCTTTTGTCAAAATTTTCATTTCAAAATCCGCCATGAAAGTAGCTCCTCCAAATTTCTCAGCAGAACCCTAAACCAAGAAAAGGCACACCCACCACCGCAACCGCAAACTTCCATGCCCAACCTCCACAGCCACTACACTCTCCTCCCACTCAGACCCACTTCATTTCTGCTGACGAAATGGGCTCTCTCATCCCAATTTTAGACCTCAATAACCTCCCAGAATCCGCCGCCGGCTCTACCCCAAACACTACCATCTCCACCGTATCCATGAAAGTCCCCAAAATCGAACCGAAGCTCGAACCTTTCGACGAACCACTCGATACCCACCTGCCCCAACTGCCTCCAGAACCCTTCATTTCCACTCCTACCCCCAACTCTCTCACCAATTCCCAAATTAACCCCTTCTCCGACCAGAACCACACCCCCGTATCTGATTCCTCCGCCGCACCCTCCGACCAGGAGAATGTATACTCGGAGTTCCATCGAATTTCCGAGCTTTTCCGAACTGCTTTTGCTAAAGGGCTCCAGAGTATCGGCGACGGCGAGGTCGAAGTATTGGACCCGGATGCGCGAGCAATTGTGCCCGTTCCTCAAGAAACCCAGATATCAGAGGCCGTCGTCGCGCGAAGGAAATACCCCAAGCGGTCCTCCGAGCTCGTCCGGGTGACCGATCTCAACATCGAGGACCAGAGGTACTTCCGTGACGTGGTGCGGAAAACCCGAATGCTTTACGACTCGATTCGGATACTGTCAGTGGCGGCGGAGGAGAAGCGGAACCCAGGAAACGGGAAGCGAGTCCGCGGCGACTTGCAGGCCGCCACGGCGCTCAGGGATCGTGGGTTGTGGCTCAATCGCGATAAAAGAATCGTGGGTTCGATTCCTGGGGTGTACGTTGGCGATCTCTTCTTTTTCCGCATGGAGTTGTGTGTGGTGGGTTTACATGGCCAAGTCCAAGCTGGCATCGACTATCTTCCAGCGAGTCAGAGCTCGAATCACGAGCCAATTGCAACCAGCATTATTGTTTCGGGTGGCTATGAGGACGACGAGGATGCTGGCGATGTGATTATCTACACCGGTCATGGAGGACAGGACAAGTTTAATAAACAATGTGCTCATCAGAAGCTGGAAGGTGGGAATTTGGCATTGGAGAGGAGCATGCATTATGGGATTGAAGTGAGAGTCATCCGAGGAATCAAATGCCAAGGTGGTATTTCACATAAGGTTTATGTTTATGATGGCTTGTATAGAATATTTGACTGTTGGTTTGATGTGGGGAAGTCGGGGTTTGGTGTTTATAAGTTTAAACTTCTGAGAATGGAAGGGCAAGGCGAGATGGGTAGCGCCATTCTTAAGTTTGCGGCTAGCCTTAGGGCCAGCCCATTGTCTGTGAGGCAGTCGGGGTATCTCAGTCTGGATATTTCTAATAAGAAGGAGAATGTTCCAGTTTTTCTGTTCAATGACATTGATTCTGACCAGGACCCCATGTATTATGAATACCTTGCGGCAACTGTGTTTCCAACACAAGTATTTCATCAGTCCGGGAAGGGGACCGGGTGTGATTGTGTTGACGGTTGTTTTGGTAACTGCTTTTGTGCTTTGAAAAATGGAGGCGAGTTTGCCTATGATGACAATGGGTGTCTTTTGAGAGGGAAGCCTGTGGTTTTTGAGTGCGGGCCCTTCTGCCATTGTCCCCCGACATGCCGGAATCGTGTCACTCAAAAAGGTATGAGAAATAGATTGGAAGTGTTTAGATCGAGGGAAACAGGTTGGGGAGTTAGGTCCTTGGACCTGATACATGCCGGGGCCTTTATATGTGAGTATACAGGGGTTATTCTCACTAGGGAAATGGCTCAAATATTTGCAATGAATGGTGATACCTTGGTTTATCCACATCGGTTTTCTGATAGATGGACAGAATGGGGAGATTTATCCCAGATATATCCTGATTATGTACGTCCAACTTATCCTTCGATCCCACCATTGGATTTTGCTATGGATGTATCCAAAATGAGAAATGTTGCTTGTTATATGAGCCACAGTTCCACTCCGAATGTGATGGTGCAGTTTGTACTGTATGATCACAATAATTTGATGTTTCCTCATCTCATGCTGTTCGCAATGGAGAACATCCCTCCTATGAGGGAGTTGAGCCTTGACTACGGGGTGGCTACTGTGTCTGAGGCTGATGAATGGACAGGAAAACTTGCTATCTGTAACTAATTTTGATGGGGCGATGATATTAAATCATGCAGACAGTTACGGGAGTATGATATACTAAGGTAAAACCAACTCATTTCTCCGTAAAAGCATTTGTATCTTTCTTATTTTTTGGTTATACACCAGATCAGCTTGCCCTGTTTTCCCATGCTTTGTTGTGGCTCTTGTTCAAACTTCAATGTCACCTTGTCACCTATTCATTGGTGCTAGGTATGTGATTCTTTGTGCAATGATATACTCTAGTAATCATATGGTGAAGCATACTATTCGGAGGAAGGGGCCTTTATATTTCTCTGCTGGAGGTGATTCGTCTTGTTACATATAAAACCTAGTCATTCTAGTCTATTTACTTAGGATTAACATTTTCCGTTTGTGTTCCTCTGGAGCAAGATTGTTCAGTAATTTGTATTCTAGGGTAATATCATGATTCATGGACCATGATTCTGGCTATAAATTATACTCAGGGATTTTGGTTTATAATATTCACCACCCCCTTTTTTGGGTTAGGATGAAAGGGATTTGAACCATTGACCTAGCCTAATCCCAACCCATTTTCTGACCCTCTCTCACGACTTGGCTATCCTAACCCCAACGGAATAAAAATTTCTTATCATTAAGACACAACTATTTTGGTTTGTTTTATTAAATATTTCTCTTGCCAATAAGTTTCAGCTACAAGTTTTGTCGAATGTACTTTTGCATATTCTGAACACCGAATTATGCTTTGCAAAAGGATTACATGTGGTTTAGGATGGCAGACTTGTTTTCGATTGCTAGAAGAGTTAAATTATGTGCTTTTCAGTCCTGATTAATGGTACTCTCTGTTGTACATTCAAACACATTAAAATAAAAATTCTGACCCCAAAATATATAGTTTTCAAGTATACAATGGTAATGACTCTTTTCTGGTATTTTATTTTGCTAGGGTTATAAGTATTGGTGCTTGTAGTCATTGCCCCATTGCTTTCCATTTGAGTCTCCATGTCATTCTATTACTAATGAGCACAGATGGAACAATATGGGTTATGGGTAGTGAGTGCACCGTTGGGTCCTCAAACCATTTGGGTTGGAGTTCATATTTGGCATATGTAACCCGAGTGTTGTGGCAATTTGTGGAATAATTGTACCTTGAAGCAATTACGGGAGAAACTTTTAAAGAAGATAATTTTGTTAGCAAAATCTATGACTTTGTTCTTGTACTTTTTATATTTTACTATTGATGAGAGGTGCAATCAAAGGCCACATGGTATACAGTCCCTTGTGTAAAATAACCGAAAACTTATAATACAACAACCGACAACCAACCCACCCCAACCCTAAAGAGAGCGGGTCCACAGAAACTGCAATGAAAGTAATACAGTGCACTTCCCAATCCCTTGAACAGAGAAAGAAGGGGGCAGTCACTAAATCCAAATGAAACTGAAGCCCAAAGTGATGTCTAATATATAGCCTTGTCCAATGAACTTGGAATCTATTATCCTGCAAATAGGAGAAAGAAACTATTTAATTAGTGTAGTATTTCTTGAAGTGGAGTTTGGTACAGGGAAAGGGAGAAGAAATTCATGTTGAATAGATATGTGAAAGTCCAGTGAAGGGAAAATGCCATGGTTTACCTTTGAGTTATGGTTGACTTCAATAAAAGGCAATAATTTGGGGACACTTTAATTTTACATTCTTTCCCTAGGAAATTGAGTTACTTTAACCGCCTTGGAATTTTAATTGATTGACAGGAAAGAATCTCGAATGCACTTCAACTGGCCCATTCAGTAATCATTAAACATCACAGGAACAATAGTGAATCATATTTCTTGCTTAAAAACATTCTAGAGGCATCAGATTAGATTTAGATAGCTATAAATTGTACCTATAGAACTCCTACTTGTGTTATTTTAAGAGGTTGCAAGGTAAAGATGCAAAGTGCTTTGAAACCTGCATTACATACAATAAGACTGATGTTGTCGAGCTGATTTGGTGTTTGTATAGGGTATTTTGAAGTTTTTACTTCAGTTGGCTGCTTTACAGACACACACGTCTCATGCACTTGCCTGTTCGCATGAATAGAGAGAGACACACATGAGCACACGCATAACTTGTTCCTGGTGTATATCTTTTGTAAAATTAGGCAGTTTATTGAATATGGATAAAGTGAGGGAGCCGTGCAAATCTTGTCATTTGAAAGAGAATTATGTGTTTAGAAAGGGAAGTTTAGTAAAGTACAATAAGTTGAGCGGCTTCCTGGAGTTCTCTTTTGTTTATTTCTGCAGTTCTATATTTATTTATTGTAAAAAATTTGAACCAAAAATTTTCAAATGGAAATGTACTCTCGGCAGAAAAATGATGCACTAAATATTGTATCTAGTGACTGTTTCTCTGCTTTTTGTAGTCGTAATTAGTTCATTAGATTTCTGTGTATGATACATGGTGCATACTTGAAATCTTACCGGCCTGTGCTGCTGTGCAACTGGATGGGAAGCCATTGGGTTATATGGTCCACATAATTTTCTGTTATCATGTTACGCAGGTGTATACATGGAAAAACAGAATACTGGATGTGTTTGGTTATTGTCGCGATTGCTTTTATAAAAATGGCATACGCAATGGTCCTTGGAGCTCTCTAATTTGTTTTCTTATTATGTAGGTGGGCATTCAGACTACGAAGCTGTGTATCTGGCTTCCGAATTTTCTGGTCCATGAATGTTTCCTCACAACTAGATGCCGAAAATGTAAATTTTTCAATCAGGTTATCCAAAAGCATTGACGTGGCTCATGTACATGGCAATTGAAGTCGCGGGCTGGTGAAAAAAGAGAATTGAGAACTCGCAGACCGAGCCACCAGATGCTGCTGTGATGATTTTCTCTGACATTTTAGGCTTTCCCGGTTTCCTGGACTTTTCGGACCAAGTCTTCATACACGCAACTGATGGTAGGCGTCTTTAGGTTTGTTAAAGTTTGCAAGAACAACTGTACTAATCTTCTGTACTTGTAGCTTTGTATATGTTATCACAACCGAAATGGCTAAACTTTGTACAGAATTGTATAATTCGTGCCTACATGTATCGCGTATGTTTGGATGGATTGGTTTTCTTTAATTCCTTGATTTATTCATTTATAATGGAGTATGATGTTGATGATTGAGGATTTAGGATTTAGGGTAACAGGTAACTTAAAAGCAAGAATAAACTGCTGCACTCATAAATGATCGATACTCGAGGCAAACCGGCATGTCTGAAGAAATTACGTGCCACTGCGCTGCCTAAACTGCTATGTTGATGACAAATTATGGAGGTGTTGGTTCAAATGAAAGCTTCTGAACCTAGACGTTAAAATAAGATTGCGATAATGGTTCATATTTAACCAAATGCGCGTAAATACAACATTTGTAAATGTAGAGGCTCGAAATCCACTGACATATTGATGCAAGAAGAAAAGGTCACCAGACTACGAAGGTGCCGGTGCTGCTCAAACTAGGTTTGATTGTTTCCTCCTTAAAAGGAAAACAATGATACAAGTGAATATATAACATAATACGAGTATTGCAACCGAGAGGGCTTTTGACTACATCTTTATAAGCATGACCATGACTGTCAAGTTCTTTTGGTAAACTTTTGTATCCTCATATATATAAACCTCGTTTGTTATACAATCAGAGTTGTAATATGCACATTTCGGGATGACTTGGTATCTGAATTTCAGTGTGTAGTGAAGATTACTTTGTGAAGAATACGGCTCATGCTTGAGTTGCGAGTGTTCCATTTTTCTCTAGTTGACGTAGTCTTGCTCGTTCCATCTTTCGTTTACGCCACTCTTCCAGGGCTGCAGGACATTATGCAAATTGGGAAAATTAGCTCATAACGATAAACACAAGTTGACATCTGAACAAAAATATGCACCAAAAATGCTATGAATCTTTCTTGCACGTACTAATACTAAAGTCAGAAAAATAATTTGACCAAATTTTAATGAAGCAGCACATAGTCATTGCGTAGGCTACTATTTACACAAGAAACCATAACCGATGTATCCATCTGCTCTAACGTTTAAAGGGTGAAGGATGTTTGACGAGTTCTCTAAGATTGGTTCACATCTAACTTAAAATGTGAGCAACTATCTGATTTTCATAAACAACTGACACACACAAATAACATACAAGAACAATAGCCCATTTCAGCATTTCAGAATGGACAAAAAATGACATATTTTCACCTTTGAAGCTGGTTGCATCATTAACAGAATGTAGATCCTTCAACCTCTTGGAAAGGCCAACTGCAACGGTCTGCCGTGTGTCATTCTCTTTGACTGTTTCTGGTTTTGCATTTGCTTCTTGTTGGATTTCCTTCACCTGAAATAGGAAAAAATTAAATGAACATCCAATTGTACACAAAACCATGAATTATACAAGGTTAACTATTTGTGTGATACTGAAAATTTTTATAAACAAGAAGTTCCAATTACAATTGAAAGTGCACATAAACATCAGACAAGCAAACGGTAAGTATTGGTTCAGTTTGTACACGGACACTCTCCGTTTCGTTTGTTACTAGCTGTAGAAGTTTATTTTAAGTAGAATTATAATCGATGCATAATAGTTCTAACACTGATTCCATACTTACTCTTTTTATCAGTTCCATGGGTCGCATAGCAAAACGAATTTCTTCAGATTCTCTTACATACCTAAGTGCAGCTGCACATACACAGGAAAAAGATTAAAGAAAACCAAATTAAAGTCAAGAATTATCATATTAGAGCATATGAACAAAATATCCCTTCACAGATTCATGAATTAGTATATTTAACTTTCTATAACGAACACACCATAGTTTAACAATCACCATGGTGCTTAAATCAAAACTGGACCTTTTAGTCATTCAAATATAGGTTTCATGCTATTATAATGCTTCGTTCACGAAATGCCTGCTTAAATCAAAACTGGGTCTTTTAGTCATTCAAATATAGGTTTCATGCTAGTATAATGCTTCGTTCACAAAATGCCTTCACAATCACCATCTTGGACCACTTTTTCCATTAAAATTTGCTCATAATTACCCTCAAGTTAAAAGCCATCCTCCGGTTCTAAACTAGGGTCATATAGATGGAAAAAGGAAGATTAAGATTAAGAAATAAAACTATACTGCGTCTAAGCGAGTAAACTATGTTACACATGGTAAAAAATTCCTGCAAAGAAGTGGTTGCTTCTCTCATTGCCTCATAGGAAAAGAGTAAGACACCAGTTGCACAATTTTAATCCTAAGAGTTTAATTCAAGGCTCCTCAGTTCTCAAAAACCTCTATATGGGATTTAGTTTTCAAAATTGAACTGGTCCGAATCCGAACTAGGAAGATAACCTCATGACATTGCAACTTAAGGATAAAATCCCAAAAAAAAACCACTGTGAATTGCACTAAATGAAAGACCTCGATCACAAAATTCTCAAGCCTAAAATACTAAATTTCAAGCAAATTCGGAACCTTCGAAGATCAACATAAAGCTGCACAACAAGATAACCATACAATTAAACCACTAAACCCCGCATTAGAAATCCTAATTCCCTAACCTCAAACGAAATGGGTCACCAATCCAATCAACAAGAAGAAGCAAATGATGGGTTAGCAAGAAAAACCCAGAAAATTTTCAAAAAGTGAGGAAATTTAGATGATGGGTCAGCATGATTTGCAAAGATAAAGAAAACTATGAGCAAGATTGTAGAGAGAGAGGGAGGGAGACCTGAATTGAGGCGAGAGGCGGAGAGTTTGGAGCGAGAAGTAGCGGAGGAGAGAAAGCCCTGAAGCAGTAGAAGCGCCGTGATCAGGTTGAGCAAGCACATCATTATGGTGGCGCTCCTGAACGAGAGCCTCGGCCGCCATGATTGCTGTCCCTCCATCGTTTTCTTCTTCTTCTTGATTGCTGTATCTTTTGGTAATTCGATGCTAATTGAGCCGGTATAAATTAGCAGCAGCGAGAGAGAGAGACGAAGATCGACAAAGAGAGAGCGCCGTCCCCGGCATAATTTGCGACTCCAAAATTGTCCTTGTTCACTTTCACTTGATTTCTACTCAAGGTCAAAAACACTTCCAAATTAGAGGTGGGTCCTTCTGCTTTGGGAGAGGAAAATCAAGAAAACAAAACAAAATTAAGAATCAGTCTTCGTCTTTTAAGGCTCGTTTAGAAGTGCTTTTAAAATTACAAAAAACGCTTCTAGAAAAAATATACTTGGATTTCAAAAGCACTTAGAATTATAGAAATCCTAAACCCTAAAGGGGCATCAGTTATGTGCATCTTTCAGAAACACTTCCAAATGTTTTTTTATGATTTACTTGCGATTTTACTAAGAATTGGTTTCATAAACATTTTCACAAAAAATGTTTTTAGTTATTTTAAAAATACTTCCAAATGAGCCCTTAATCTAGGTAGTGTTATTGCACTTCAATTTTACGTGAAGACATTTTAAGTTCGATTCTTGTAAATACGAATTCGAATTAAATTATTATGGCTTGTCCAAGGTGGTTGAGCTCATTTTCCTATATCGTAATCTAGATAACGTCCTATGTTTTAAAAACTGAGTTACCGTCCAGAAAGAAAATTAAGAATCAAGAAACCTAGGTCAGCTGCATTTTTGTCCTTGGAAAATTTCCTTTTTATTCTATTGTTTGTATTATTTTATGTTGGTGATTATTTGAGTTTTTTAATACAAAATTTTAAGTTTGGATATTGGTTAGATAAGTTTCCAAATTGGAATTTCATGCTTCATTCGTATTCATTTGGATTTATTCCAAAAAAGAAGAAAAAGGAATGATGTACCATTTTTTCAATTTTTTTATGACTAACTTAAAAAGTTTTGAAGAAGTTAGGTTTCATCATAAAATTAATTGACAATATAGGAAGTAGTCCAACCACTTATAAGTCAATGTAAGGTCCCACTTCTCATTTAGACTCATTCTCAACACGCCCCTCAAGTGTGGTGAATTTTCAAGCTTAACACGTAGACAACACAACAAGATGATGTGGACCTGTGGTGAATTTTCAAGTTTAACACATGGACAACATAACAGGGTAACGTGGAGCGCATGTGGCCGTTTGGCTTCACACGTGGGATAACTTGCTCTCATACCATGGAGAAGTTGAGATTCCACCATAAAAATCAATTGACAATATAAGAAGTAGTCCAACATCTTATAAGCTTATGAAAGGTCATTCTTCCCATAAATATGAGATTCATTATCAATAGGTTTCCTATTTTCTTTGGCCTTACGTCATGTAACAATTTAGAGAGTCATACTATGTGGTAAATTACAAAACTAAATACAAAAATGTTATGATGACCCACATTCACAATCTTATCTGCTATATTTTAATTTTATGCGAACTATGTGTCACAAATGTTGAATAGTAAACTCTTTCAACAATTTTTTAATATCATTGAATTATTCTTCAAGAAGGTGGATCGTGTTACAAAATATAAGATGAAAGAACCCTTTGTTGAGAATTTGCAGTGAGTGCAAGAGTATAGATTTTTTCAGTACAACTGTTTATTGAAATGGTAGGAAATGGGATAGTCTTTGCATTTATCAAAGTCCCTTTATACACAAAAGTTTACAGCCATAAGGAGTAAACGTTATGAAGCAAAAGTTGTCATCTCATTTCTATCTCATCTTTTTAATGCTATCCTACCTAAAATCTTGAATTGGTGTCACCAAAATCAATGTGACTGCTTGTTTCTTCATGTATTTCTATGTAAGAATTCACATCAATTTCACAACGGATCATTTGTTGTTTCTAGCAAATTGAACCAATAAAACAAAGGAGAAAAACCTTGCACTATTGGAATTGAGGGAGTAATTAACTTAAAAATATTTATAATAAAAACGAAAAACGTGAGCGGCAGGATTCGAACCTGCGCGGGCAAAGCCCACATGATTTCTAGTCATGCCCGATAACCACTCCGGCACGCTCACTGTGACGATGCTGAAACTCCAAATTTGTATTAATTTACGCACACGCTTCTCGATAACCCATGTTTCAAGTTTCAACTTCCAGTTTCACATCCTAGCTCTTCTCTTCTCCCACCACATGATCCTATGGTAGCCACTCCACTCCTCCTCAGTCACTTC